TGAGACTGGTTCATATAGAGGATCAGGACTACACTGAGACTGGTTCAGAACCAGATAAAAGTTCCTCACAGTAACTTTAAATAACGACTGCAGGACTTTTACTTGTCATGGAGTATTCTACGTTGTTGTATTGGTACTTGTACTTAAGTACAGCATCAGAGTACTTCTTCCACCACTGGTATGAATGAGTAACTGTGTCACTAGAACACAACATGGTACCTTATGAATCAACGGTTCTCCGGCCTCGGACACTGTGACCAGTTTACAGAGAGCCTGCAGAGCCGGAGGAGTGAGACCTGAGGAGACCAGCAGATGTTTCACATCTTCTTCATGACATGTTTTTGCATGTTTAGAACTATTTTTGGAGGTGCATGCTTCAGGAAGTCTGGATCCTGGAGGGACTAGTCTCACCGAGCAGAGACTGCAGAGTGGTGCTGCACTGTTGCAGCCGATCCCCGGGGTCTGAGGTGGGGAAGAAAACCGCCGCGGGGAGACCAGCGCCGCTGCCGGAGAAGTCCAACCGGAAACCCACCGCGGACAGGAGCGCCTGCCACCCGGGGACACCGCCAACCTTCAGAGGACAGAGGACATTAGTGGGGGGGAGTCGGGGGGACACAGAGGCTGACGTCTAATAAAGACAAAGGGAGCGACGAGCAGACCTTGTTCTCGACGCTCTGCTGAGACGTGTACATCGGGTGACACTGGCCGCTCTGGATGCGCTGCAGAGACTTCTCAACCTGCAGAGACAAAGAGATCAAACACTTCACCGACCGGTCCGTCTCATCGTCAGTCAACAAATCAATAGTCCTGGTCCTCACGAGCAGAGTATCACAGGTTCTGTTCATTGTACTCCTTATTGTGTGTTTTTATCATAATAATAATCAATAGTAAACAGATGCTCGTGTTATTTAGAGCGCCAGGTTTGGCAACCTTTTTGATATGAAGTGGCATTTTAAAATGTTCTTGATTATTTGCTCGAGGAATCAGACAATAAGAGACACCTCCCACAATATCTGTTTTGTTTCAACAGTCCAAACATTACAACAGTTATGAATGAGTGGTGACGGATGTGAACAGTGTGAGGGGGTCTCACCAGGTGCAGCAGGACTCTGAGGGCGTCCCTCGCTCTCTCTGGCTGCTGCAGGATCTCAGCCAGAGCCTGTCCAACCAGAGACATGGGGCTGTTCAGCTTCACGTCGCTGCCGACCAGCATGTAGCCTGAGGAAAAACAAAAAATACAAATTCAAAAAATAGAATAAAAAAAATGAATTTCGTCCATTTAGAGTCAAACAGACCATAAAGCAGCGTATGCTTTATAAACATACAACATATAAAGTTAAGTATGAGTCGCTTGTTATGAACAATAACCACAGATTTCCGTGTCAATGCGTGCCGGTGTTTCCGCTCACCGGCCCAGTTGGACGGGTGTGAGAAGTGCTTGCTGCTCTGCAGAGTCTTCATGGCCTCCGTCAGAGCCGCGCTGGCTTTGGTCCCGTTGAGGAGCGCCGCGTAGAAGGTGTGCGTGAAGAGTTTGGAGGCCGCTATGGGCACGGGCCACAGAGAGACGCACACACACTGGACCCCCGCGGCCAGGAAGGCTCGGGTCAGGCCCACCACGCCGTCAGCCGTCGCCCTGCTGCTGGACTCCGGGTACAACCTGAGGGGAAGGGGTCAGAGTTCAGCTGGAGCCTCGCAGGGCTTTGGAGGAACGTTGAATCTGTGTATAATCACCTCAGAACTACCAGTTTGACGGTCAAGCACAGGTCCAGGATGTCAGCAGCAGTGAGGAGGAAGTCGTGAAGCGGCGGACTGTCACACACACTCTCCACGTCACACACACTTCCCCCGTCCTCGCTGGTTTCGTCCGCCCCTCTGAGACTCTCTGGGCTGCTGTGGCTGTTCTGGAGCGAGCCCTTGATCTTTCCCCCCGACCCCCCGCACGGTGACCTCTCCCTGGGTCGCCCGGCGGCCCCCTCCCCCGCGGCGTGCTCCTGGCTGGGGGCGAGCACCAAGGCGGCGAGCTTCCACGACACGTGAGTCGCAAAGTGGACGCACTCCGCCTGACTCAGAGCCGCGAGCACGCGCTCCTTCGTGGCGTTGGCTCCGGTCAGGGCGTGACATCCCATCTGTTCCCCCAGCCACAGAGCTTCGTCTTGGGCTGAGGGCAAGGGGCCCCACAGCCAGCGGTCCATCACAGAGGGGGGCAGGCGAGGAGCCCCGACCACCGCAGCCACTGAGCCTCCATCTGAGCACAGTAAGGGACCACCGCGGCGAGGATGACTCTAATATATGAGAACACAGGTAGCAGATATGAGTTTACATGGTTATATTTGGTTTGTTCACACATCATTCAGAACCTCATTTATTCTACATTGTATTAGGAAAACATGGAGAAAAGCCTTTTTTTTTAATTGCTGTTCAGGAAATATATGAAAATAAGCACATATTTAATAAAATAATGCCTCATTTGCATATTTAAAAATACATTTTCGGAAAACTGTTAATACAAAACATAATTGTCTTAATGTTGCTAAAACATCCTCATCGTATCACTGTTACACTCACCTAAGATCTTTATACATCCTCCTACCTTGATCGTGGCTCCCAGGCTGCCTAAAGAAGGAACAGAGATGAGGCTGAACCTTTCATACAGATACTCGTTGGAGGAGCTGCCTTTGAGCAAGGCAAACGGGATGAGGTACAACTCCCCCTCCAGCACTAACACCAGCTGTCGGTGTCGACCCACGGGTCCACTGCTGTGCATCAGGCCCTGGACACAGAGATTCAGTTAAAAAAAGGTAGAAGAAGAAGCAGTCATATATATATAATATATATATATATATAATATATAATATACATGATACACACCCCTTCCATCGGCGCTATGAGTAAGTCATAAAGGGCTCGGAGAGGAGGTTTGCTGATGTTACTCGGCCGGTACGGTGGAGACGACAAGCCGTCCTTCACTGGAGACACTGTGGCGCTGTACAGACTCGTCATGCTCTGACAGCTTCTGTTCAACACACACATCAGACACACACAAACACACACAAACACACCGTTGATAAGCAGTTAAAGGAGAAAGAGGGTCTGCAGCCGTGTTAGCCGTGTGAGATTTAATAACAATAAGCTGGCCGCAGTTTGGACAACCAGCACCAAACACAAAGTACAGCCGAGGATCAGTACCATTCAACTTGAGTGGGAGATTCATTTTGTGAGCTAAATTTCACTCAAAACCACAAATATCAACCTGCTGGTGTATCGAGAGAAAAAGTCAGAGGATCACCAGAGTAAGTAGGGTTCATCCTCTGGGGAACAAAATATCACGGCAATCCATCCATTCATTATTTTGCCAAATCAAACGTAAAAAGCCAAAGTCCGACCTGTTGAAGAGGTTATTTCGGGACACCATGCGGAGGTATCCCGTGGGGTCGGTGGCCGACGTCAGTTTGTTGTTCAGCTCCTCAAAGTGTTGCTCCAACAGATCTCCGGCTTCACTTTCTGTCTCACTGCTGGAGCAAATTCTGTGAAGTGGACGGTAAGAGATTCAGTGAAGAGAGGAGGATTCTCACTGCAACACCACCAGGAACATGGAACTCAGTTTGTAAAAGTTCAGCTCTATTTCATTCAGACATCTGGCAACACTTCAGCTTGTTTTCTTCATTATATATATGTATATATATATTTATATATATACATTATAGTCCACTTGGACTTATATATATATATATATATATAAGTCCAAGTGGATGGAAGTCTTTATTGATTTTGTCAATTCGAGTCTAAAGTCATTATTTCGTGACGTGAGTCCACACCTCTGACTAACATCAGGACACATTTTCATTTTTTAGGATAAAACAGGATGCAGACAGCTGGTCGACGTGTGATGTTTGACGTTGTTCAGGAGATACGACGGGTCTCTTTACAGCGATTGATCACAGCACTCACAGCGAACTGATGGCTCTCACAACCTGCCATTAGCAGACACCATCTCTTTTTATGGAATCCTCCGGCTGCACTTTTTTCGCGGCTCGGGGGAGATTTGATTTGCGTCGAAGTAGCAGTTTCTACATGCTAGAGGAGAGTTAGAGTCCATTTCTAAATGGAGCATATGTGCAAATACTTGTCACGCTGTGGATGAGCAGGATTCATAATCATCACAACGTAAATGGAGGGAGGCTCGCCACACACACACACACACACACACACACACACTGAATGGCTGCTGGCTGCAGAAACCCCACAGCAGCGGTTTCCACAGAGAGTTGAGAGGTTTGTGTGGGGGAACGTTTGCTGACACAACAACACGTGGTAGTGATTTACACAAAGCCGTCGTCCGGCGGTTGCCGACCGAGGCCCAAAGTTTGCGGGCGGGATAATTGAGAGTAAGGAAATATGGCAGCGGAGAGCCGAAGGAAAGGAAGACGGATGACATGCAGCGTGGAGCTCCTCCTCCTCCTCCTCCTCCTCCTCCTCCTCTTGTGTTTGAACGCTAGCTGCTGTGTGACGCTCTACATGTCCACTATGACGATGCTAATCATTAGCAGTAGTAGAGGAAGTATTCTGACCCTTTACTTCAGTAAAAGTACATCTCTGTAAAAATACTCTGTTCCAGTAAATGTATGTCAGTATGATCAGTAAAATGTATTTAAAGTGTGACAACTGTGACTGTTCTTCTAAGATATATTAGATTTTACTGTTGTACTTGTTTCAGCTCATTTTGAACTATTAAGTTATTAACTAATGATTATTTTCTACGTTAATTTCCAATGAATTTGTCAATCGACTAATTATTTCAGCTCTGTTCATATTTAACGTTGTTTTTTTACTTTGAAACAAAACATTGTGTCCTATGAACTCTTCATATCTTTTAAATGCAAAAGTCTTGTTCTGAAAATAAACTAAAGCCGTCAGATAAATCTAGTGAAATAAAAGTAGAAAGTGTCACGAAAAGAAAAGACTCAAGTACAAGTACCTCATATTTGTAGTACAGTACTTCTGTAAAGCACTCAGTTACATCAAACACAAAGTACTCTGATGATGTGAGAAGTTCTGCAGCTCATAAACTACATCATGGACACATTTAAATGTTGACCTCGAAGAAAAGACCTCATGTTGGATTCAATCTGTGTGCTTCTTCTTTTACAATATAATATTTATACATTAAATCTTTATTGTTCACCAGGGTGGAAATTCATCTTCAACCATAATTTATTTGGAAGAGTGTGACAACTTGTTAATTAATGACAGAATTAAATCATCTCACAAAGTTGACTGTGCCGCCAAAGAAGAAGTAGAAACCTGCTGTAATGGCTGTCCACTCCGAGAGCCTCCCTGGCGTTGCCGATGTACTGATCCAGAGACAGAGGACCTCCTCCTCCTCCTCCTCCTCCTCCTCCTCCTCCCTGCGGACTCCCACCACCACCACCAGCATCCTGGAACTCCTCCAGTCCAGCTTCTCCCAGATACACCTCGTTGAACTTCACAATACCTGTTCAGGGAGATCATGAGTGAATGAGTGGTTTGTTGCTGCTAAATAATTAGAAAAAGGATTTTTTTAAAATCTGGTCGTGCAGTTTGTAAAACACGGTCTGGATGGAAAATTGCTCCAAACTCTGTGTACAGGGCAGATTTTTGGATATATTTTAATTATTAACAAGGCTAAAAGTCTAACGCCTGAGTAGAGAGCGTGTGTTAGAAGCTGCAGTGTTTGTTGCAACACTGTCTGTGTGTCTGTGTGTGTGTGTGTGTGTGTGTGTGTGTGTGTGTACCTGTCCCTGGAGATATCAGCCAGCTGTACAGAAAACCTCCAGCCAGAGAATAGTAGAGGACCAGGGCCCTCTGCCCGTTGACCGTCTCCAGGATGTTCTCCACAGTGACGGGGACGTAGGGGTCGGAGGTCGCGGCATGCTGACTTCCTTTCTGCCGTTCCACCAGGAGGTCGGCGAAGGCTCGCGTCCGGCCTCGCTCCGCGATGGCCAGCGCCTCGTCGTGCCGGCCTGGAACGCAACACAGAAGATGAAGGATGAGGAGCAGAAGGTTGAGAGGGTGACGGAGAGAGGACGGCCTGCAGACGCACCGAGCCTCGCCGCAAAACAGCCCAAAGTTTCACAGTTTGTTTTGATTCTGGAGACGAAATGTTGAATACAAGTTTTGAATGTCACAAAATTTAGGCTGCTGTTTACAACGAATGTATAACGTAATGAGGACTATACAAACTACGTCCAACTGGCCAAATGTGTGAGCAAATTTCATGAAGATGACAGATTACATTCATTTCAGGGTGCATCAACATTTTCAACTTATTTACTTTATTTCTTATTTTGTTCTTATCGTATCGATTAGTTTTATGTTTCATGTGTTTTATCAGGTTTAACTCGTAGTTTGTTTTGCTTTGTTGGGCCTCACTGTTGTTTTATTGCCTTGTTTTTGCTGCTTTGTCTGTCAAAGCACTTTGTTTTTAAGGGTGCTGTATAAATAAAGTTATTTATATTATTTCAGGAAAAGCCCTGGTTCAGGTGTGGACTATGAACTGCAGGGTCCCCGGTTCAAATCCAGCAGGGGACCCCAACTTTCCATCATTTCTCCATTGTTTAATTGACAGCAAAGGTATAAATGCTCCTAATATAGTTATGAATAACTCACTATGACACACTGATCAACAGGATTAAAAGAAATAATGTTTTCCACGTAATTCCTTAAAGTAGTGCAGTGAAGGAAAGTGGACAATGTGATCGGGTGTTTGTGGACTGAACAGAAACAAGGGGAGGGGGTTGGTTCACCGAGGCTGACGAGGACTCTCTGGAGGGCCTGGTACGAGCTGGTCTGCAGGTCGAACAGAGAGAGCTTACAGTCGGTGCTGTGCTGCGTCTCGTGACGAATAGCCTCGAACAACACGGACGCTCTGTACAACTGAAACACACAGAAACAAACACACTGATACCGATACACACTTAACTGTAGAATACACACACACACACTGTATGTGTCACCTGACATACTGTAGACGTCAAAGCTGAACTATTGTCATGACTTCATACCTGAGAGAGAGCATGCTGTTACATTAACAACCACTGGAGGGCAGTACAAGTACACAATCTCAAGTACTAGGATGTCGGAGACTTAAGGAAGTTTACTCATCGACTCAAACATTAGAAACAATAACAAAGCAACAGATTGGTACTCGATCACGTCACATGCTGTACTGTACACAGAAGTACTCATTAAAGTACTTAAAAAGTGCACTAATACCTGTGTCTTAAAACAGTGTATAAGTATTAGCATTATGTGATTTGACCTAAAAAGCAACGTTATTCATGAGGCTGAATGGTCAAGTTCAGAGAGTAATACTATTTTATTGGATTATTGATATTGATGATTTAACATTTTGTATATAAATATGTGTGTGTTTGTGTTTTTCATGACTAAATGTAAACTTTAATTGTAGAGTAGAAGTAGAATAAAATGGAAATATTCAAGTAAAGTACAAATACCTCAAACTATAAAATTTATATTCCACTATAGATATGCACCCACCCACACACACACAGACACACACACACACCCACACACACACAGACACACACACACACACACACACACACACACACACACACACACACACA